GGGGGGCCCCGTCTGGGTGGCGCAGAAGTCAGCCGAGTGACATGGCGGGAGGCGAAGGGGGGGCAAAGCGGAGATGTACATGGCCGGGCCCTGCCCCCTGTCCGTGTACATCGCTGCTCCGCCCCCCTTTGCCTCCCGCCGTGGCGCTCAGCTGACTTCTGCACCGCTCAGCCAGGCTGCCACAGGGGAGCAAGCAGCGCAAGCAGCCATTTGGGCCCTGCGCTCCCCATGCTTGTGCTGCTTGCTCACCCGTGGTGGCCCGGCTGAGTGGTGCAGACTCACCATATGTGAGGTTCACCAGTCCTAAAGGACCAAACACTTATCCCCAGATAAATATTAATCTCAGATTTTACCAAATATCATGTTGTCAGCCAATCCTTAATAACTAATCTGTGATTTTGTAATAAAAGGAAACAGAAAGAAGAGCATTATAAATGTTAAGAGAGTAATCTACATACAAATGTGTGTGACATTCTTAGGTCAGTTTCATAGCGCAGATGGCTTGGTTGCTGATTTGTCAAAGTCTCTCTGGTGTAAGGTTGCCAGGACTTTGCTGACCAGGCTGTTAAAAGTCCAGTTCAGGGCATAGTAGGGGCAAGGGCTCAGGCAGGCTCCCTGTGTTCCCTGGCTCTGCATGGTTCCTGGAAATGTCTGCCATCCGTCACTACTATGAACAGACTTTCTCCATCCTTTTTGGAACCTCCCTTTAGGAAATTGAAGGCTGCTATCAAATCCCCCCCTCACTCTTCTCTTCTCTAGACTAAACAGACCCAAATCCCTCAGCCTCTCCTGCAGACCAGGGAGACACAGAGCAAAGCCTTGGAGCACGCCCGCAGCAGGACAGCCCAGGCGCGCCTGGGCTATCCCGCTGCAGGCGTGCTCTCACTCTTCTCTTCTGCAGACCAAATAGACCCAACTCCCTCAGCCTCTCCTCTTAGGTCATATGCTCCACCCCCCTAATCATTTTAGTTGCCCTCCGCTGGACCCTTTCCAACACATCCACATCCTTCCTATAATTGGGAACCCAGAACTGGACACAATACTCCAGATGTGGCCTCACCAGAGCCAAGTAAAGAGGAATAATCACATAACTAGATCAACTGGCAATGCTCCTCTTAATGCAAACTAATATGCCATTAGCCTGCTTGGCTACAAGGGCACACTGTTGACTCATGTCCAGCTTCTCATCCATTGTAACCTCCAGGTCCTTTTCTGCAGAACTGCTACTTAGCCAGTCGGTCCCCAACCTGTAACAATGCTTGGGATTCTTCCATTCCAACTGCAGGACTCTACACTTGTCCTTGTTGAACCTCATCAGATTTCTTGTGGCCTAATTCTCCAAAGGTCTAAGTCACTCTGGACTCTATCCCTGCCCTTGAGGGTATCTACTTCTTCCCCTAGTTTAGTGTCATCTACAAACTTGCTGAGCATGCAATCCATCCCCTCATCCAGGTCATTAATCAAGATGTTGAACAAAACCGGTCCCAGAACCAAACCTTGGGGCACTCCACTAGAAACTGACCTCCATCCTGACATTGAGCCATTGATCACTACCTGCTGGGCCCGACCTTCCAGCCAGCTTTCTATCCATCTTACTGTCCATTTATCCAATCCACATTCCCTTAACTTGCTGGCAAGAATATTATGGGAGACCGTATCAAAAGCCTTGCTAAAGTCAAGGTATATCACATCCACTGACTTACCCATATCCACAGAGCCAGTTACCTCATCATAGAAGATAATCAGATTGGTCAAGTACAACTTGCCCTTCATGAATCCATGCTGACTATTCCTGATCACCTTCCTCTCTTCCAAGTGCTTCAAAATGGATTCCTTGAGGATCCCCTCCTTGATTTTTCCAGGGACTGAGGTAAGACTGACCGGCCTACAGTTCCCTGGATTGTCCTTCTTCCCTTTTTTTAAAGATGGGCCATACATTTGCCTTTTTCCAATCATCCGGGATCTTTCCAGATCTCCACGACTTTTCAAAGAATATGGCCAAAGGCTCTTCAATGAAATTTGCCAACTCTCTCAGTACCCTCGGATGTATTAAGTCTGGACCCATGGATTTATGTACCTTTAGCTTTTTTAAAATAGTTCCTAACCTGTTCTTCTTCTTCGAGCAGTGTCCCATGGGTGCTCCACTGTAGGTGTCGGGCTTGTCCCGGTGCCGCAGATCGGAGATCTTTTCTAGCCTTAGTCTGCCGGACCACGCATGTGCGAAGTACGGCTCGTGGCTTTTCGCGCCGTTTGAGCAGCGCTGGTCCGGCTCCTGCCAGTTCCTCCTGCCTCTTAGTCTCTCTCGTGAACCCTGTTCACAAAGACAGAGAGAGATTACCAACAGTTGTTATATACATAGTTTTAAAAAGTTATAGTTATAGTTCTTTGTATAGTTGATAGCTCTAGTCGTTAAAAAAATTTTTTTTTTCTTCAGTAGTTAGTTTATTCTTTCTTCATGCTGGGGTTCAAGAAGTGCGGCGAATGCTGCGAGGCAATGCCTGCCTCTGATGGCCATTCCCTGTGCATCAGGTACCTCGGGGAAGGCCACATACCCCATAAATGTCCCCATTGCTCCAAGCTAACAGCCAGAGCAAGACGGGACAGGGACATGCGCCTAAAGATCCTCTTGTTCGACAAAGCTCTGCAACCCTAAACCCAGCAACCTCAGGGGCACGCAGAGCAAACTAAAAGAACGAAGAGGAAACCATCTCCAACGCGATTTCTTCCACCCTCACGATCGGGTGCTGGTGACCAGCCAGGGACATCAACGGCACCGCCCGCACGCGTAGAGTAAGTTGGCTCCGAGCCCTTCTATATCAGGCTCCACGGTCTCAGCCATTCCCTCGGTTTCCAAACCGCTTCCAGGGACCTCCACGGCTTCGAGGACCTCTGCCGGTGCGGAACGCTCCCCGGCGCCGAGCCGCTCCCCGGCACCGAGCCGCTCCCTTTCCTCGCCCCGGGCGCATGCGGCATGGCCAAAACAAACAGCGCCGAAACCCTCAACATGGGGACGCTCGGGAACTCCTGAGCACCCTTCTTCTCCTACATGGTCGGCACCGAATCAATCATCACCGCCCAGGAAGCAACAATCACCAGTTACACGTTCACCAGCTCCGGAGCGTTCCTCGTCATCGACGCGCTTACTGGCACCGAGCCATCCTTCGGCACCGGAAGGATCGTCACATCACAGGCTTCCCTTAGAAGGACGTCCACCGGCACCAAGGCGGCCTTCCCCCTTGAGATGGTCCCTGGAACCGAGACAATCATCGGTGCCGACACAATCGACTCCGAC